TTCTCTGCCGTCAGCACACAAAGCAGGCCGTCCAATAACTTTTTAATATAGTGTGTAGAGGGGATGAATTACTTCCCCTGCTCAAGAGGACTAAGAGTATGCATGCAAGTGAGACAAGGGAGAGCTGCCATCTGCTGTTGGAAAGATTCTTGTTCGTCTTTTAGACCAGGCACTAACTGCTGCAGGTGACCCATGAATGCCAGTGACTCCCATCCCCCAGTTTTAGCACACAGAGCCATATTTCGCAGGGGGTCCAGGAAATCTGCACCCGTTGTGCACTGCGGAGAAGTAAAGTTTGCCCTCAAGTGCGGCTGTTCTCATTTCTAACTCAGGAAAAAGACTGAGGATTTTACTGATGTTTTGAACCATCCATACCAAGAGCAAAGCAAAGCTGGAAGGGATGGCAAAAACCACTGTGCCTCCAGGAGGGAGTTTAATGGAATAATCAACCACATTTTTAAATTTAAGCCACAGCTAATCCATTAAATCACTGTTTATATCTGATATCTGCAATGGTTTTCAAAAAGCTGAGCACTATTACTATTGAAATGAAAGAATTCCGGATGTCCTACACTTCTAAAATCTGGGTGGTTTTGGTGAGAAAAAAAAGTTATTACTCCTCTGCTGAAAAGGCAGCTTATTTAATGAAAAGTTGCTTTGAGTCAATCAAAATTATTTATCCACTTCTGAAAACATGTTTACTCTTGCCTTCTAAATTACATTTTAAGCCAATTTAGCTAAATGTAACTTATTCTTTTTGAAAAGACATCCAAATATTTAATATGATTTACAGAAAATATTTCAGTCATTTAAATAGCAAATTAATCTTTTTTTAATTAATCAGTTAAAAAAAAAAAAACACTGAAAATTCTGCAGAGAAAGGTACTGCTTTTTTATATTTTTTTCCAAGAGAGAAAATTAATGAGGAAAAAACCCATCCATATCACCCTAGTCATTTACAGGGGAACCACAAAAGTCAGTAATTCAGGACCAGATCATTCACAAACAAATAAAAATTCATATTGAAGCAGTGTGGTGCTGCTGTGAAAGTAAATACTTTTCAGTTATACTATTGAGGCCTGTTATACGTTAGAAAAAATCATAAGAAATCCTCCAAAGAGATGACATGATTTTTGTCCCCAGTATTCTTCAGAGGGAAAAACCTCTTAATTCAATTGTGATAAAGCTTATAACTTAAACTGGTCAGTCTATGAGAGGGTGTCATTTAAAACATGAATTAGGGATCTCAGCAGCAGCTGTCGCACTCAGCTGGGCTGAATCAAGAGAAGTGAATTCAGGGGAGGGCGGGTGAAATCCATTTTGCAGGGTGCTTATACTTCGTGCTGCCTCCTCCTAATTTGAAAACCTGCCCAAAATGCACCAGTGCAGATTTTTCTTGCAGTGATTCTGTGGGTTTTCACCTGTGTTTGCCTGAGAGCAGAGGCAGCAGTAGGTACATCCAGCAGATGGTGCAGCCCATTGCTTCCTCTGCAGGGACTCAGGGTTAGCAACTGGTTTTCCCAAGGTGGGTTATAAGGTGTGCTGAAGAGGGAAATAAACACCACCATTATGTGGCAAGTCCTTAATGAAGTTATTGATGTAAATCAGGGAAGAAGGCACTACAGCTTCTTCTGTTCCTATACTGAGGTTTTCAAGGTCTGGGGCAGCTTCTGGTGCTCACCAGCTCTCCCACTGCTCCTCACAACTGCAAAGACAGCTTGAACTTGGCAAAGCAAAGGCGGGTTTGCAAAACCCACGCACCCCTTCCCCTCCGGATGAAGAGCATGGTACACAGAGGAGCATCTCAGCCTTTGCACAGCCTGTTTGTAGCCTTTTCCTTTGAGAAGACAAAGGTGAAAATGTAAAGCTGTGCAAAACAACTCTGGCAGCTGAAAAAAACAAAGCTCCCTTCAAAACTAAAAAGAGCTGGAACCCCGGAGGTCACTGCAGTGTAGGATGGTGCTGCCGTCCTAACAAGTGTCAGGTGCTTTGGGGCTGAATCACGGTCTTGCTGAGCTGGTTGGATATCCTCAGAGCTGCAGGCTGCCACGGGATGGCCACGGAAGGTAAGAAATTGCTCTGAAGCAGAAAGAAAACAAATTTTAAAAAATCTTTCAGAGGCTCGCCAATAAAGTTTCTTTGGCTCTGCATCTGGGCATTGCTCCCAAATTCAGCCTCTCGCCCTCAGATAAAGCACTACAGCCTCGAATGAGAGTCAGATGCGTGGGAGGGGAGTGCACGTATCTGCCTGGGCTGGAAAACATATGTACTGTAATGCCTAGAAAATGCTTTTTACTTTGGGCCTTGCTCCAGGAAACCTTTTTCCTTGCTTTTATGATTGTCCCCTGTTGCTTGGGACTGCCCAGATGTTAAACCCAGCCCCAAGGACAGGGAGGCTGAGGAGATTTCTTTGTGCTCTTCCCTGTGCCACCTAGATGTGGGAGCACCCAGCCTCGGGCATGGCACCTCCAGCTCACACCATTGCTCCTCAAGAGGTGGGTGAGAAGAGATGGTCACCGCAGGCTGCGGGGTGACCCGTCCACAGCGACCAGACCCGCAGCTTCTGCCTTTATCTGCTGCAACGAGTGGATCAAGTCCCAGCCTCAGCAGAGAGGGGGGACAACCAAGTTCCTCGTGGGGCAAAAGGAGGGAGAGAGGAAGAGATCCTGAGAGACTGTCACTGGCCTATCCCAACCATTTTATCATGTGATTGTATTACTCGGTGGATTGACAGTTACTTTTTTAACAGCTGTATCCTCGAATTTTGTAACTATGTGAGGATTTTAGCTATTCTCAAACTATATATTGCCCAGAGAGGTTGTTGAGGCCCCATCCCTGGAGGTGTTCAGGGCCAGGCTGGATGTGGCCTTGAGCAACCTGGTCTAGTGGGAGGTGTCCCTGCCCATGACAGGGGGGTCGGAACTCGATGATCTTCAACGTCCTTTCCAACCTAAACCATTCTATGATTCTATGAAAAGCAAACATGAACCACCACCATCAAACCATATGCCCTCAGCCTGCCCCGGATCGCAGAAAGAAGCTGGGCGGG